CTGAGCTGCTATATGTTTTTGTGGAAACTGTGATACCTTTTTTCAGGATTCTTTGATGATGAATAGAAGGTTCAATAGAACAGCATTTATTAGATTATTATTATTATTATTATTATTATATAGAAATCTTTTGTAACATTATTAATGTTTTACTGTCACTTTTGATCAATTTAATGCATCCTTGCTGAATAAAAAATACAACATACAAAGTGTATTAGTGGGATATTACCTAAAAAAAATCTAATACTGTATGTACTACTAGCAATTTTCTACTGGATAGTTAATGTATAGATAGTTAATGTATCTACACTATGTTGTTTCATAAACGTATTAAAATCAACGAGTATTTTTGTTTTGGACACTGTTTTTCCACCTAGTCCATTTTAGATATTCATACACCCTACTGACTGAATGTTAGCATTGTTAGCACCTACACTTGAAGGTTTGTGACTAAACTGTTTAAACACAGATTCCTAACTAGCTTAGCCAGCAAGATATATTTGGTCAAGTAGCATCACCACTGAGACTAAGTTGGCTGACAAATTTTGCCACTTAATTTTGCTGGTGAACATTATGGTTGTGCTGGTCCATTAGCTAGATTAGCATAAACCAACTTTGACTAGCACTGAAAATCATTCTAAGCTGGTCTTTTTAGCATCAGTAGTGAAACTGGTGAAAGAATGATGACTCACGACCAACAATGGGGGGAAAATAAACTCTTATTAGCACCAACTTTCCAAATCTGACACTCCACTTGCTATGACATGAGATGAATCGGTTTATTTTAACTCCTGGGATATGGTCCCCTCTTTTCACCCAGTCCAGTTAATCATCTGTGTTAACGAATATTGATAAAGCCAACAGATTTGGGAGGCAGCATATGTCCAACTGCAGCAAGCTGTTCTTAGTCAGAAGATCCAAGCAAACCATCACCATCAAGCAACTCCAATCAGGCCAGATGGTTTGGTTGTCCACAAGGGATCTCCATTTGAAGTCTCCATCAAAGAAGCAAAGTCTTTGATTTAGTGGTCCATTTAAAGTTCTAAGACAAATACCTCCAGTCGATTTCTACTAAAACCAACCTCACCTTCAGACTGAGTGTATAGACAACTCAGGCTGTACTTCTTTATGTAATGACAAACTTTATCTAAAATCCAAACCTATATAGGACACCATATACTGTAGGCTCACATATTGAAGCATAATTTTTGACCCAACATGTTAATAAACATAAAGATTTGATTTATAAATCTTTAAAAACAAAATGCCAAGCCACTAAAATGGCAGTTTTGCAATTATGCGTTTGGCAGACGCTTTTATCCAAATCGACTAACATTGCATTCAAGGTATATAGTTTATCAGTTCATGCATTCTTTGGGCATCAAACCCATTACATTGGTGTTGCTAGCGCCATGCTCTACTGTTTGAACTATGGGATTTTGTACTATGCAATATATTGAAGATGTACCATGCAATATATTGAGCAACAACACATTTCACTTTTAAATGCACAAAGTAATGTTATTATGTTTTACTCTCAGAAAAAAAGGTACAAATGCTGTCACTGGGGCGATACCTTTTCAAAAGTTACACCTCTGTACCCTATTTACCCCTAAAGGGTGCATATAAGTATCTTAAAGGTACATACCTAAAGTCTATCAACATAGTAAGTTGATCCACATATGACAGCCTCTGAACTTGGTCAGTACTAATCTTATATACAGGCACTGGACTAAAAATTTAATCAGTCATCGCTCCCAAAATGATTTCAACGGGTCATGAACGCGATATTGCATAGCTTGTCAGTGATCTACGGCTCTGTGTATCCATCTGAAAGCGCGTGATGGAAATTTACTATTAATCACAGAACCTATTTTTTTTAAAAATGGCGTTTATCGCGTTTTGGAACCAAACTCTTCATATATTAATACACAAAATTGTATATATTTGTACATTTGAAAAGGTACCATCTATCTTGACTGAACTGTATTTGTGAGTATTATTTAGCTGTAACCTGTACATGGTGGCCAACCTTATGTTGCAAAAAAAAAGTAGGTAACTGATATGACTGAAGCCATATTTTTTTCTACATCACATATACATCAGGCAAATTATGCCAAAAGTATTTTAAGTATTTAAAAGGTTTTACACTTAAATCAAAAGATCAAATGTGCAATTTCTGTCATCAGTGTCACCAAATGGACTTTTCGTCTTCCATTGGTCAACCAAACAGATAGTCACACCATTGCTTGAGACATTGTTTTTTTGATGAAATGCTGAAATAGTACAGTAAGTGAAACAGTACAGTTTAATATTGCGTCTGCATATTAAAGTTCACTCATAACTGAAAATTGTTATCATTTACTCGCCCTAAAGTTGTTCCAAACCTGAACGTGTTTCTTATGTTGAACAAAAATATTTTGAAGAATGTTGGTAACCAAACAGTTGACGGTAGCCATTGACTTCGATAGTATTTTTTTCCTTACTATGGAAGTTAAAGGGTTAGTTCACCCAAAAATGAAAATTGGCTTGTGTTTTACTCACCCTCGAAGCATCCTAGGTGTATATGACTTTCTTCTTTCAGGCGAATCTACGTCATCCGCCGGAACTGCTTCAGCATATGACAGATAACGGAAGTGAGAGAAAAGTGTTTATTACGTTTATTACGTTTATTACAAAAAAACATGGATTCACTACAGAAGGCCTTTATTCACCCCCCGGAGCCGTGTGAAGCACGTTTTATTAGGAATGCGCGCGCTTTATTTGACGACTTGTGGACTGTTCAGCTGCAACACCCGCTGACTGCAATGATAGAGCTTGGAATAGTCAGGACAATTTTTAATATAACTCCGACTGGATTCGTCTGAAAGAAGAAAGTCATATACACCTAGGAAGCTTCGAGGGTGAGTAAAACACAAGCCAATTTTCATTTTTGGGTGAACTAACCCTTTAATGGTTACCGTCAACTGTTTGGTTATCATCAACTGTTTCTTCAAAATATCTTCCTTTGTGTTCAACAGAACAGACTTCACATTTTTGGGTGAACTATCCCTTTAACAAAGATAAGAGAAAGTATTTTAACATTTTCAAAATATACAAACACATCACCTTTAAATTAAAAAAATTATTTTTTTACACCCTTTTTATTGTAAGTGTATGAATCACATTCTAAAACCTAGACAGTTCAAATCAACCACCTCATCCTAACACGCATATTCACTCTAAATCTTCTTTCTCGCTCCAGTGAGTAAAACATTTGCAAGCAGTTTCAGCAGATGCAGTTTTGCCCACTGCTTTCACTGCAGTTCTGGACTGACATGCGTCTGAAGAATTTGTCACTCATTCTGCCTCGATAAGCTGTTACCTGTGTTCTCACTGTCATTCTGAGACATCATTACATTACTTTATCCTTCTCTTTTGGCATCCACATCTCTGTTTTTCCCACCCTCCATCTGCTGCTAGCTGGTTAATTTGTTCATTTTACATACATTTTATGATGAATCACTGACAACAAATTACATTTGTTTATCATTACCAAACTGCTGACAAAAAAGTTCTGTGCAAACACCTGGTCTGCAGTCCAGACATCAGCAAGTCTGAACACGCAACATTGACATGAAACACTGATTAAATGTGTGACGCAGGCTGAACCTCTCGTTCATGAAAACTGTAATTAGTGGTTTTGAAAATTACAGCATACTAGTCATCTGCTCCTACAGGAAGTAACTCATGTTTCTGCTGTACTTTCAATCAATATCTGCCATTTCATCATAGTGTTGCTCAATCGCCATAAAAAAAAAAAACACCTTTAAGCCGGGCGTACACTGGGAGATTTTTGCTGTCGTATGAGTTCGTATACGCAATTTTTTTTTCCCCCATCAGGAGAAATCGCGTGGAAATCGTTGAAGTTTATTATGCGATTGCTTCGGAATTCAGCAGGTCGTAAAATCGTGTCGTATATCACTGCGTCCGTATGATTTTCAGATAAACTCACTTGTGACGTGTGCGTGGACATACAATCCTCCTACCGTCAGAATTCGCACCGTGTACGCCCCGCTTTGATCAGCCAACTTGCAGATTACTTGGAATCCACCAATAGAGTGCAACAGTTGGATTCAGATAGACAGACAGACAGTCAGTCAGTCAGATAGATAAAACAGGTTTTTTTTTTAAATAGTACTTTAAGTTAAATTAAACGAAAATAATATGTTAAAATAATGTTGCCTTGTTAGCTAGCTGAAATAAGTTTGTTTATATTATATTAATTTAATTTATTTTATTTATCTGAATTATTTTAATTCAGTTTAATAACATTTATTTTATTTCATGGTTTTAGTTTTAGTTACTTTGATTCTGTTTTTATTTGAGCTCTATAAGATGAGGCATGTTACACCGGAAGGATAGCATTTCATTAATTTAATAAAGTAACATATCAATACACAAATGTGTGGTAAGCGTTTTTTTAAATCAATAAGGTACTCCGCTTTGCTCCGTGCCTAACAATGCCTTTCAGCCGTGACTTATTCACTATACAGGATGGCCTCTCGTACCTTAGTGCTTACTTACCGTGCTGTGTGCCATAAAGTTGTTAATCGATGGTATATGCTTCTGTTGAAGTCATCAACTTATTTTTTAAAACATGTTCAGCAGCCTAATTAATGGTGAAAGAACTACATTGCCCATGATTTTGCTAAGAAATTCCCACCAATAATTGTGTAAGTAAATTGCAGCAAAAGAACACTTTAGCACCCGCCCAATCCCATGAATTCTTAAACAAACTCTCTTAAACAGACTTTTTAAATTATCTATGGGGAAAATGAATGAAACAAAAAATTG